ATTCCTGTTGTCTTTTTTCATTGATGCCCAAGTACACAAGGCAAATTTGCGTGAAAAAAAAAAAAAACGCTAAATTTGTGAAAAAAAAGCTAAATTTGTGGGAAAAAAGCCGAATTTATGAAAAAAAAACGCCAAATTTGTGGGAAAACGCTCAATTTTTGAAAAAAAGCCGAATCTGTGAAAAAATGAAAAAAAAAACCAAACTTCTGTGTCACAAACTCTCAAAAAAAGCAAAAGATACTAAGAAACAGAAAAAAAAGATGTATGTGAGAATGCAATTAAATGAACAAATCTTGGCAGAGTGACAATGAGTTTTTTTTAAGAGCTCCAAACTCGGCGCTGATAATCCGGTGGAGCCACTTCATAATCCTGTTGCAGGTCGTAAAATTTGTGACGATTTAACTCCAGGAATTTCAGAAAATGATGTACATGCGTCAAAATCGTATCAATCGATCGTTTCGACCAACTCACTAGCCTGTAAAATAACTAGAAACTAGAAACGCAAAATGAAAAACCCACGCAGTAACGTCACGAGGATTGTCGATGAGGTTATGTGTTTTTGCGCTGCACTTGCAGTAAAGCAAATCGCTAACAGCATGAATGGTTGTTGCCTTAACAAGTGGACTCATTTTGGCTGTTTTGATCTTTCCTGCATGTAAAGGGGAAATGGCCACGGGTGAGACGGTAGTGTTGCATAACACGGCCGCATGAAATCATAACCTCCAGCATGCATGAATGCCGTAAATGTTGAATCGTGACTGGAAAATGCAAACTAGACAATGAACAGGATATCGAAAGAGAGGGAGGAGGGAGAAGAAATCCGCAAAATGCACTCATTTTCGAGGTTCTCATGCCCTTTGCAGAGAATTTTGCTTGCCAAGATAAATTTAGACCACAAATTCACCTCCACACACACACGCGCGCACACACACACAAACACACACACACATCCACACCCACACACACGCGCACACACACATACAAATATATACGTACATACATCCATAAACATACATATACATTCATAAATATATACACACACGGACAACCTCTCGGCAATACGCCTTTTTTTGCGTTTGCATAAAACGCAAAAACGCGTAACAAATGAATGCTTGAAATCACTATATTTTTAGCAAAAGCATGAAAAACGTAAATATGTTTCAGTTTCTCGCATTCCCTCCAACCAGCAATTTCATCAAACTTTAGTTTACTATGGCGAAAAAGAGAAAAAAAAAAGGATAAAAAAAGTAGACTATCCAAAAAAATAAACGAGTACTGACCCCAGCATGCTACCAAATCGGACGAAAAGACGAAGAAGATGAATGAATCCATAATGTTCAGATGCCTTGAATTGCTGTTCTGTTCCTCCTACATCTGTAAGTCAAAATCATCAAGTTATAGAATCACTTTTCAACAGCGCCGAACAAATTGCGTATGTTAACACATAGAAGACTTCAGGCCCCCGTCCTCTTTCGATCTCCTAGTCAGTAATTCATCGTATTCATTGTTTATATCTCTAAAAATTTCTAAAACACTTAAAATCGATTAAAACGACTAAAATGCTAACAACTGCAGAAAAAATCACTCTTTTAGCTGGTAAGATATCTTTAACCCAATCTAAAACTGACGGCATTTAGAGCATAATTAATACATTCGCACATACCAAGGACATTTCAAAAAAAAAGCTACAACACCGCTAACTGCTTTTTTTGGGAAACTCGGGGAGCTTTTGGGTTTCTTCAGAAAACTCACGAACGGGTAGATGGAAATCAGGCGATTCAATACAGAATAGAGCGAAATCGAAAAATTGCCAAACGCATAATTGGAGAGCTCTCCACCATATCAAAAAGTGCCAACTATCCCAGCTATATTAAGTATCCCAAAAAACTTAATCCATTTGATCGTAGTCCTTATCCCCTCTTCTCACCTCTCCCACACTCTTTAATGTTAGAATTTTTGTTTCCCCTTGCTTTTGGTTTCCCTTTGCTTTCATTTTCTCTTTCTTTCTTCTCTTTAAGCATTGCGACCATTGTCATACCGACGAGGTCCAGTTGCAGTGTTGAGTTAAGACGTATATGACTGAACTGGACGAAAAACGTCTTATCTCACTCTTATCTCCTTTTCTCCTGCACCATTTCTTTCCTCCTGAATTCCTTTGCACCTTCGCCATCTGCACTTTCAGGGTCAATTCTGGATGCTGCAACCTGCTTACCAATTGTGATATTTTAAAGCTAAACAAAGTTTCTCAGGAAAAGTATGAGTTGCTAAAATGCGAAAATTTTGAACAAAATGACCGGTATTATGAATATTGGATTAATAAAACTAGCTCGATCCATTTTTATGCATAAAAACGTTTTGTGATACAATAGCTACAGTTACCTTCACCTTCCTCTGATGTACGTTTCTTCTTTTTCTTCGGCTCACCTTCCTCCGGCTTCTTCTTTGTCTCAACCTCATCCGCTTCACGTTTTCTTTTTGGTTCTGGCTCACCAGTTTCACGCTTTTTCTTTGAATCCTTCGCTCCTTCCTACAAAAAAAGCAAACAAAAAGCTTTTAAACAACCCAAAAAAAATAAAAAAAAACATAGACGACTCTTCAGTTTAGGAAGAATTCCTAATTTATTATCGCTTCCGGATTTATACGCGCATTTTTTCAGAAAAAGTGAAAATGCTCCTCCACACACACCAGCTTTTGTCAAAAATTTCCACTCATCGCATTTGGCATATCAAGAAGTACGGATGAGAAAACCGATTTTAAAGATCTGTTTTCGATTCCCGTCAAAATTCTTCAAAATCTTTAAATTCATGTCATAAAAGTCCGGCGCAAATCCGCCATGAATCAACCGGATCCAATACACAGGACTTTCCTAAGAATAGTCAGTTCTACTCGATTTTTCTTACAAAAAATACCTGCTGCTTTTCAGAATCCTTTAATGAGGCCACAAGATCGGCATATTGTGGTCGTTCAAACTTATACAACAGCTGTGTGCCCAACATACAATTGAAATAATCCTACAAACAAGAAGAAATATAAATATTCAAAAATAACCGATAAAGGAGGCGGACTCTGTTAGGCAGTACAAACAGCGATACCGCAAAATTAACGTGGACATAGGCGGATCCAGGGCAGTTTCTTAGGGGAGCGGGGAAGAGGGGAGTTTAGGCGATTTTTCTTTCCCCTCCTCCCTTCCCGTTCGTCATTACTTCGGGAGCTTCACTCCTCCACCCGCCCTTACGTGAGTACCACGCATCGCTGGGGGCTGAACTTGAAATCTTTAGCTTAACATAGGGAATATCCTTACAAAGTTTCAGCCCCTCATCTTGTCTGGTTCCC